TTTTTTTTTCTTGTTCAATTCTTTGTTATTAAGCGCGGAGCTCTGCCGGCGGCCGGCCCCTTCTTGCCTTCTGGCCGCACGTCCTGCGGGGGGAAGGGTGGGCGCCGCGGGGAGAGGCCGCATCTTGATTTAAGATAACTATTGAAACGAGAAAAAAAAAGAGTCTGAAAGAGAGAGAGAGAGACGTAGAGAAGGTGCAAAAGGAATAAAAGAGAGAGAGGGGGAAAAAAAAAGGTTTTTGGGAGATTGAATGGAAAAGCAAAAAAAAAAAGAGGGCATTGAAAGAAGTAAATGCCTGTGTGGTAGTCTCGTACTAAGTTGCTCTAACTAAGCCAAGGAGATTGAAGATAATGTAAGTGCATGGATAAGCGAGCAACAGGTAAACGAAAGAACGGCACACATATGTACACAGAGGGCCGCGTGGAAGGAGTCCTCGCGCGAGTGGTGGTGTGTGTGTGTTTTGAATTATAAAACCTAGATGAAGAGAGAAGTCTACACTGTTCTTGTTGTTGTTGATTATGCTATTTGGCCTGTTGCAGCCTCTGCCCTTAGCTGCACCGTATACGTCTTCGTTTTTCGCTCTTTCTTTCTCTCTCTCTCTCTCATCATTTCTTATGTGCTACTCGTGCGCGCACGCACTCACGCACACGGGGATTAATTAGGGAGGTGTGGGTTGTTTGGTTGCGATGCTCCGTTGGATATACACAGGTGCCGCGCAGGACTGGAGGAAGACCGAACCGCCCGTCGTGAGCCGGAGCAACTCCCCCTACACCTTCGCCACGGCACTGGCGGAGCAGTCAAGCCGGGCGTTTCTCCAGTTCACGCATTCGCCAACGGTGGTGGGACTTCTCCGCGAGCAGCCCTGCCTTGGCAGTGAGATGGAGGCGTGCATCCTTCAACTTGGACAGCTGGAGGATCTGCTGTCTCTGTTGCAGCGCATCAGTCTTCCGCAGGACGCGGCGGGAACGGCAGCGCAGGCCCCACGCTTGGTCCGTGAGACGTTTGTGGCAGTCTGTAATGAAGAGCCGGCCTCTAATGGAGAGGTGAACCTGTATAATTCTGTGGCTGACGAGATCATTGGATGGCTGCAACTGCTGGCTTGGGCGCGCTGCTTTGCCGTCTTCCTGATGCAGCGGCTGGTTGCCATCCACGATCAGGTCTCATGGTACCTGTGGTATTGGTCATGGGCGGAGGTTCACCCCGCACAGGCCTCCTTCCACCTGGCACTCGGTAGCAGGTCGTGGTGGCATGGATTCATGCGCAGGGGGTACGTTGGGCAGATGCTCCAGGTGCAGTCCGGCGCCATCGCGCACAAGTCCGCTCTCAACAGGGTCCTGCGTGGCGTGGTGCGGGGCCTGGGCGCAGTGTACAGTCTGGTGGACCGTATGAACGTCCTTGTCTCCTCCATGGAGGAGACAACTTCCAGCACACACGTGCATTCCATCTCAGAGTTGGAGGTGGTCGGGTGTGCAGAGTGCCAGGCGGCGGAGCAACGGCTGCTCGTCAATGTGCGCGGGGCTGTGGCCTCAACCGTGACGCTCTTGGCGAAAACGGTGCAGTTGCGGGATGTGGGCCAGGCTGAGGCGAGCACATCGGGGGGTGCATCTAGCGACATGCTGATGTTCTCCACTTACGCCAACGAGTCGATGCTGTTTGAACTACAGCCGAAGTTTTCTACTGATGTGATGCAGAAGCAGGCTTCAGCGACTGCCTCACTCAAGGAGAGCTTGTATCTGTTGCGTGACACAGTGGAGTACACGAGGAATTGTATCAAGGCTCTTAGTGAAGATGTTCACACGAAGCATGTGCCGCCTAAAGGTAGGTACTGGCGAAGCATCTTTATCACATGCTGCACTGTCTTGCCGTCTGTGCTGTGGCTGTCATCCAGGAGCATGAGCAACCTTTTTCGGATGGTGGCATCGGCCCGTCTGGTTCTGCACGGGCTTGCGGCAAATTACGTTGTGTCTCCACTCAAGGAAATTGCACGGAGTATCTTTGGTGGTCGCCCGGGCGTGATAGAGCGGCGTCGCACGCTGGAGATGGAGATGGAGTCGGTTGCTAACATTGTCCGCGACTACCACGAGGATTACTACGCAAACATCAGCCAGGTAGAACTTCAGCGCTTGCGTGACCGCACCTTTGAACACCTTCGCTCCGGTGTCGTGGCGGATGACGAAGGATACAGGCTCATCAACGGACACTACGAAACGGCCATTCGGCGCCCAATTACGAGTGCTTTATTTGGCAATCTCCTGCGCCTGATGCTTATCCAGCTCTCATACCAACAGCTGGAGGTTATGCGCGTGGTGAACTCCACCGATGAGGTCTTGGAAGGCAATGATCTGAACTTCAAGGCGATGGCGATGGTGCCAGTGATTGTTTTTCTTGGTGGGGTGCTGTTCGTGTCGTTCCAGAAGCGGCGTGCCAAGCTGCGGCCTGTCAACCGTCAGCTTAAACGGCACTGGAGGTCGGTGCACCGCGTAGTGACACTCGCCGAAGATTCCCGTGATGGGTTGCTCGGGCTGCAGGGCAACCAAGAGAAGTCTTTGGCCATCACAAAAAATGACGAGGTTCTGTGCTTGGCGGAGGTGGGGAGCGCGACCAACCTGAACAACTACGATCAGGGCATAGTGCTCTTGATGACACATCATATGCGCAGACTGGCGATGGAGTACCACACCAATTACCGCCACTTGGAGGAGTTCCTGGAGGATCTGGATGACCTTGAGAGTGTGCAGTCGACGCGGCAGCAGCGCTTGTTGACGCTCAATCGGATGCGGCAGGTCCACCGCTTTTTATGGTGACACGAACAACGCATGGATGAAGCTAAAATGGTGGGTTCGAGTGGCTATTTTTAAGAGAATTGGGCGTGGAGGGGGTGAGTTCGTTCATCTGGGGCGGAAGGGGCTTTTCCTCGTTCTGTTCCTATATAAATATATATATTATATTTATATATATTTCTCTCACTCAGACCACGTGAATGAGTGTTTGTGTTGTGTTGTGTGAGCGTGCGCCCATGACTCCTTGACGCTTGTGGCGGGCCCNTTTTTTTTTTTCTTTATTTTTTTTTTTTCGTTCTGCTCTCACGTCTCTCTTCTCCCTTGGCTGCCGTGATTCTCCGCGACCGTGCAGTTGAACAAGATAGGCCATGCCGCACCGAAAGGCGAAGAAGGAAACTGGCACGGCATCCCGCGCCTCCACCACCAAAAAGGTGGAAGCGGCGGCAGCAGCGAGTAAAGCAGTGGCGCGTGCGACGAAGGAGGAGACGGAGCGTGCGGAGTTGGCGGAGTGGATCGACAAGAATGACCCCTTGTATGACCGCTCTGGAGCACCCCCGGTGACCATCAGCGAGCTTCTGTCGACGAAGCTCCTCCACAGGACATTTACAAAGGAGGGTATGGGAGAGATGCCGTACAACTGGTCGAGGCTGCGTGGCATTCTGGAGGCCAGGACTCCCACCAGCCCCCGCTGGTTCATGCAGCTACGCGAGGAGGACCTCCTCATCGACGGCGGACTGGACGGTGTAACAGTGGACTGCGTGGTGATTGCAGAAGCCAGCGTGCCCACCCTCGCCCCAGCGCACTACATTGTGAAGCAGCACATGCCCTANTGTAACAGTGGACTGCGTGGTGATTGCAGAAGCCAGCGTGCCCACCCTCGCCCCAGCGCACTACATTGTGAAGCAGCACATGCCCTACAGTGACTTAGAGGACAATGCACCGGAGCGTATCTTACCCATTGAGGGACAGGGCATGTGCTGGCGTCGTGTGGTTCGGGATGACGGCGGCCATATCAATGCGTACCTGTTGCAGAAGAGAGAAGTGGCGGCGGCTGCGCCAGTGAGCTTTGGCTTTGGAACTTCTGCGCCATCTGCCTCCGCACAAACAGCAACACCAGCCACATCATCCTCTACCGCCCCAGCCAATGGCTTTGGCTTTGGGTTCGGTACTGCGCCGGTGCCGGCCGACAACAACAGTAATGTTACAGCGAATTTTGGTTTTGGGAGCTCAGTAGCAGGAGCTTCCGCCGGTGGTTCGTCTGTCACATCTCCTGGCAGTGGTTTTGGCTTTGGGTTTGGCACCACTTCTTTGGCGAGCGATAAGAGCCACAACGGTAACGCTCCAACGGGTGTTAACGCGAGCACTTTTGGATTTGGTGCCGCAAAAACAAATGATACGGCAACACCGGTAGCGGCCGGAGCCTCTGCCCTTGACGCTTTGATCCCACCAGCATCGCAGGTGGTGTCTCCACTGAAGCCGAGTGAGGTGCTGTTCGCGCTTTGGTCGAAGAAGCGTCTGGCGGAGATGACGAAGTCCCTTAAGTCGGGCAGCCGCATTGTGTTGGAGGACTTTAAGCCAAAACCAATGGAGCCGAGCATCAAGCTGGTGATGCAGAACGACCTCAAGGACGATGTTGCCAAGACCGTGAGGCACCTGGTCCTCAACAAAATCTTCGCGAAGCGCTGCGATAAGATTGTGGCGGTGGACCGCTGGATCGACGCGTGCCCTGTGTACGAGGAGCACCTTGGCGCCGCATTGCAGAAGTTCCGCGCCAACTACGTGCAAGAGACCGCGGAGGCCTCCGAGGANGTGTACGAGGAGCACCTTGGCGCCGCATTGCAGAAGTTCCGCGCCAACTACGTGCAAGAGACCGCGGAGGCCTCCGAGGAGTTCCGCGTGCTGTACAACGAGTGCCGTACGCCGATGGAGGCGGTGCTGCAGCGCATCGTCGGAATACGCAAAGAGGTCGTGCATCGCGAGCTGGACTGCATCGAGCACATCACGCAGCAGGTCAAGGAGGGCAAGATCGCGCAGAAGCAGACGTTCCGCCTCCTCAAGCACTACGCCGAGAACGACGTGATGCGCTTCAGGCCGTTTGGGAAGGTCAGCGGCATTTCCGAGATGGGCGAGAGCGCCGATGTGTGCGAGCCGCCGGCGCCTGTCTTCGTGAACCCCTTCGCCGCCGCGTGGCCCCACGCGTAGCACGCGGGCGTCCTCTGAGCCGCGCGTGTGAGTGCGAGTGGGAGTCTGGCGGGGTCGCCGCCTCTGTTTTCCCCCCTCAGGACACGACGTCTTGATCTGACAGCACACGTGGGGGAGGTCGTGTGCGTTCGCGCCGAGACGGGGCAGCGGGACACACATGGTGCACGCGCCCCTGAGCCTCCTCCACCGTCCCTGGTGCAGGCAAACGCACAAGCCCTATTTCCAACCCACATGCGGCTGAGGGGCAAGTGCGGGCGGTCCACGTTAATAGAGCGGGGTGTAAGCGATAAGAATGAGAGGAAGGAACGTTGAGCAGCAGGGAAGACACGAAACAGGATGGGGGGGGTAAGCTACATTGGTGGGAGAGTGGTGACCGAACTAAA